ATGGCTTCCAGGTCCATTTATGCCAGGCAGCTTTCTACTGGGCTTCCACCTCACATTATCCCTGTTCCAACGTGGGGCCTTCCCAGGATACGCAGGGAAAGCCCAGCCCGGCCGAGCTCTCTGCCAGGCCGCAGCGCCATCCCTGCCGGCTCTCTCCTGCCCCGTCCCTGCTCCCGCTGTCCCCTCGGGGCTCGCAGGGCTGTTTCTCGCTCGCTTCCCCTGGCTCAGCCCTGGCTGCCGGGCAGCGTTCTGCCCTCCCTTGCCCAGGCTTTCCCCGGGGCTGAGGGGCTCAGCCGTGCCCTGCGCTGGGGCCGCTGCAGCCGCCGGCACCGCCTGGGGCCGGCCCGGGCAGCGCCGGCCGCTCGCAGAGCCGGCACCGGGACACCTGCACCCAGCTGGGGAGAGGACGGTCTCGTCCGGATTTACAGGGTTGTTGGTTTTTTTCGTTAAATTGAGAAAAAGTTTTTAGATGCTCTTAGAAGGACAGGGGGAAAAAAAATTAAAGGGTCAAACTCTAGACAGAATTTTGCCAGCACTTTGGAATACGGGAAGCCATGAATTATTTATGTCTGACTTCCCAGTATGTTCCCAAAAGGCTGGTAGTATTTTCCCTGTTCATCTGTCTATGATCGCCTCAGATTTTAATTCGGTTCTCTCAGGAGCATGTTTATGCTCTGACTTACAGAATTTCATCTGTGTTTTTGTGGCACAGATAGGAAATAGTGTTGCTGCTGTAAAAATTAAATGTAGCCAAGTTACTTCTAGTAGTTTCTCAGCTATGGTGAAATCTCTTTAAGCTGCTTAGATTTTCTTCTTGTACTCCCTCTACCTTTCTCTTTGTTTTTGGTGCTGAGTTCCCAGAAGTGTGGGTTAAAAGACTATCAGCCAACTTATTTTATAATGAAAAATGAGAAGCACTTGGGGTGGCTTTTTAGAGAAGGGAAGCCAGAGACGAAGGAAAGGTACCGTGGTCATTATCATTATGTGAGAAAATGCTTTTTTGAAGACAACTGGTGGAATTGTTAGGTTTTTTGTGCCCATGCTGAACAGTGGAGTAAACAGGGAGATTAAATGTATTATATTAAACAGCAAAGCAAATTTTCTACTGATAAGGCCAGTGGTGCCTGGAGCAGAGGGAGGTGGCTAAGAGAGGCTGCCATGAGAGAGGCTGTGCAGGACTGGTTCTGTGTGTTAAATATGTGGAATGACAGGAAAAAAATCTGCCTTGTCTAGAGATTTGGTAGTGGGCTAGGGGTGCAGAGGCTCATTTCAACCATAATATTTTGTAATTCTACAGTACTAGCAGTTTTAGGTCCCATTGAATCTGAGAATGTAAAATTTCTTAGGCTGAAGACTGAGCTAAATTAAAAGTTCATTTTGAACAGATGTGCAAAAGGGAGTGCTTGCTATGTTGATGTTTGCTGTGGAAACACTGTTTTATGTTGATGAGTCATGCTTTTTTTTTTTTTTTAATCTACTGTACCTTCAGTACAGTAGTGTCTCTGTTGCTTGTGAAAATTCATTCTGTGTTTCCCTTCTGTATAGTATTTCTCATGCAAATTTATGTAAGGAAAAAAATAACTGTTAGGGTCTATAATGTTAACAGTTCAGCTGGATATCACATAGCTGTAGATCCAGGGACACTGGGCTACTAAGTGCTATTGGCTGCAACCTTTCCCCTTGAAGAACTGTAGTAATAAATGAACTCATGTGATAGATGTTTGAAATTACATTTTCTGTCCAGAAGAAATATTTTAATAGGGGCACAAAACATTCCTTTTAACGTCAGAGACATTTATTTTGATTTCTCTGTTTCTAGATGAAGAGGACATGTGCAGCATGCCTTTTTTAAAAAAATCTTTTTCTTCGCCCCTCTTTTAATATCTATATTAAAAACCAAAACAAAACAAAAAACATGGAAACATGCAGTGGTTGCAGAATGTTAGCTGCTTCCAGATATTGAACTTATTTGAAGCAAATACAATTTATGACAGTAGTTGATTGTGTAATCAGATTTTTTTCCCATGTAAACTAATGCTTACAAATGTAGATTATTAAAGCAGTTTTGAAGTGTTCTTTGGTGAAAACAAGGAGTTTAAAAAAACTTACAGCCTAAAAATTAAAATTTACTGCAATTGAATATAGCCCTAAAAGAAGTTAACAACAGCAGCAGGCTGTTGCTGCCTGTGTCTCATGGTTGTAATTGTTTTGAACTCACATAAACTGTTGTTGTTGTACCAGCAGCATCTTTTTGGTCACAGAGCGGCTTCCCCGTTGGCCACGCAGCCCTGCAGTCCTTCCCAAATACACTTTAAATATTCTGGAGCGCTTGTGCTAGGGCAAACATTTTGTGTAGTCCTGGTCTCCCAGTCTCGTTTACATCGCTGGGTTTTACCTCCTCGGGCAAGTGTTGTTAATAAAACAGCCGATTCAGCAGAGCCTCCCGGCCGGGGGTCAGGCAGCGTGGGGATGAGCCGAGCAGACAAAGGAGCTTTTCCCAGAGAGCTCCTCAGCCCTGCACCGACAGCGGGGTGCAGCAGAGGGGCTGCTCCCAGCCAGGGAGCCTGAAAACATTTCACCAGGCGCCTCATCCACAGCTCTGGGGCTCCTTCCCAGCCCAGCGCAGTCTCGGGATGCAGTTCTGTGAGCCTCTTGAGCCGTTGAGTTCTTTGCAGCTCTTTGATGCTGCCGTAGTTGCACGCGTCTCCCCGGTGAGCTGCCCCGAGCAGGGAGCACGGCATCCCTGCGCCTGGAGCCAGTGTTGCAGGGCCGGTGGGACTGCTGCACTTGGCCTTGCTCACGTGCTTGCATCCCGTGGGCCCCTGCAGACTTCACAGGCTGCGGAGCTGATAGCAAGGAGTGTTGCATTACAGTGATTTCTGCAAATATCACTCCGCAAAATTAACTATCAGGCAACAAAATCAACTATTAGGCCATTTGTAAATTTTTTTGACTTTCATGATACTGTAACTTTATGCTGTAAGCTGCCACTGGAATACTATACAAAAATTCCAGCTGTAAATTATTTGAATCCTCCCAAATGTACTGATGGTAACTATTTCAGAGTAGGACTGAGAAATATTTTTTTTTTAATTCAGAAACTGTTTATGTTTTAAATTACTGTTGACAGTACAGAACAGAAGCATATTCTATAATTTTTTACCTTAAATGAATGAAAAGAAAACGACTTTTGTTTCTATTATGATAATGTAATTATTAATTCAGTGAGAAAATAAAATAACTAGATTGTTTGAAAGCAAGGTAACTGAATAAACATTTATATGTGTGTGCCTGCATGTTTTTTCTTTGGTACTTTACAAGACAACAGCAAGTTTAATTGTAAGTCACAAACTAGTTAAATTCCTATAACAGAAGCCAGTACTTTTGTTAAAAATAGTCAAGAAAATGTAATTTAAGAAGTCCTTTCAGATTGAGGTATTGGAATTGTTAAGAAGTTTTTTTCGGTCTGCTTGTACTTGTGATAGAATAAGGCAGGTATTTCCCCCAAGCTTTTCTAGTTTAACTTCAGATAGTGTTTCTTCTGGAGCAAGGGCATTACCAGAGCCAAAGATTTGGTATTTACCATTGTCAGTGAGATTTGCTTACAAAAAGTAAATTAATTAAAATCTTATATAATCACATTCTTCAATATATAAACTAATGTAGCCTGAGATTTACAGAGATTTTTCTTCTAACAAATAGCTGGATTTTTATGAATAATCTGTGTTTTCATGTTTTTGTCTTGCATATGTATGTCAGTGTCTTGAGCTTCAGGAAGCTTTGGAAAAATGCTACCCAGCTGGGCTAGTTGTGTCTTCTTGGGCAGCACAGTGGCTTCAGAGAAAAAGCTTTATAGAATGTTATTTTCCCTTCTTTTAGAGCTCTAATTCCCATGGCAGACTGATGCAGAGATGCCTGGTATGGGTATTGAATTCTATTTTTGTTTTTACCAACTATCCTTTCCTACTGTTTTCAGCCTTCTCACTTCTTCCAGAAAAAGCTGTATTATTATATATTTTAGCAGAATAGAGCCAAGGCAGGACTTTTGCTTCTTATGCAAATAAGATAAGGTGACTGTTCTGAATATCCCCACTGCTCTTTATGAGGCCCATCCAGCTGGCAGCCTGTGGGCCACTTCTCTTGCACAGAATAATTCTGGCCAGCTCCCACATGAACATGATTTTATCCTATCGTGCCTGTGCATAACCATGCAAGCTGCCTCTCTGCTCCTTTACTTCTGGAATGTGGCACAATGTGTCTGCCTCTGGAGATGTGCCTATAGTGACATTTAAAGAGAGATACTACACTATAGCTTAGCCTTCAGAAAGATAAATCATTCCACAGTCACACCACTGTTTTGCCCTCTGAAAAGAAATGCTAGAAATGCCGTCAAATGCCAAGACTCTTCTTTTTCTCTTTTTTCTTTTTTTTTTTTTTTTTTTTTTTTAATTGGTAAGAGATCTTAAAATGGCTTAACAACTGGTTGGTGTGCTGTTTTTCATAAAAATAGATAAAATATTGCCAGAATCACCTTCTAGACTAGAAGAAAGGGTATGAAAGTTATCTAGGCTTAAAATATAATACATGTTCAATAAACATGTGTGTTAGCAAGTAAATAGTAGATAGCTTATATTTCTCTCATGTATCACTTGTTGGGTTTCTGTTTGCAAAGCATTTCATGATTCATTACTTTCATGATACTGTAACTTTATGCTGTAAGCTGCCACTGGAATACTATACAAAAATTCCAGCTGTAAATTATTTGAATCCTCCCAAATGTACTGATGGTAACTATTTCAGAGTAGGACTGAGAAATATTTTTTTTTTAATTCAGAAACTGTTTATGTTTTAAATTACTGTTGACAGTACAGAACAGAAGCATATTCTATAATTTTTTACCTTAAATGAATGTTACTATTCTTGTATTTATATGAGTCTGATATTTATCAGGTTTATGATAATAAATCCATTGTTTTATTTTTCCATGAACTGCAGAAACTATGCCTGTTCCAGACCAGCCCTCGTCTTCTGACAAGACAAGTTCCCTTAGTCCTGTGTTGAACACATCCAATGGTGATGGCTCTGAAACTGAGACAACCTCTGCCATTCTAGCTTCAGTCAAAGAACAGGTAGGCAAGTGATGTATCTGTAGGCTGGAAAACAATTGTATGATTTACTGGTTTGTTTTGTTTTTTTTTTTTTTACAAATGCTTCATAGCTGGTATCTGAATAATTTAGTTCAAAAATTCATATTCTAAAGAATGTTAACCATTTCTTCATGCCTTAGTATACTTCTGTAAGCTTTTCTACAGTAAATATAATTTTAATTGAATTGCTCATTGTATTCTCCGCTTTCACACTTTACTGTGTATGGTGGTTTTCTGATGGCTCTCCTTTTATTGTTGGCAGTCTGCATGTGAGTTACAGTATACTGGCATGTAAGAGTTACAGACAAATGAATTGTGGACAAGATGTGTTATTGTAGAATTCTTAAAAGATTAGTAAGAACCTTAGGATTTTAAAATTTATATACATGTTTTTGGGGGTTTTGTGTAAAACCTGATGTGAGATTATTTCAGGGCAAAACTGGCTATAGATAGAGACACTCAGTTTTGGATGATTAAAACAAAAATATTAGAAGTTTTCAAGGAAAAGGTCTTCAGTGTGATGGTCTGCTTGATGCTAATATGACAGGTTTGGACATTTTAATGTGAATTTTTGTGGGCTGAATGTCAGAGATTTTGCTTTCAATGCCTCTGTGTACTTTAGGAGATGGTTAATATTTCAGTTAATGCAAACAACTGGTCTCTGTCGCTACCTCCTTTGGTTTGACAGCATCAACCGGAATTCCAAGGAGAGACATTAAATCAGCTGCTTTTAGGCAGCTTTCTCCTTGCTGAAGGTATTTAAATTGGTTCTTCCGTTATCAAGTACTGATCTTTCCTTGCCAAAAGACATTCACTGGCTTTTTATTTAAATTAATGCATGAATTCAGCTTATGATATCTCTCAGCACTGGAGTAATAGCTCTTGAGTCTTAGAGATTTTATAAAAATTATAACATTGCTCTTTCTTGGTTTTTTTAGTGTATGCCAATTCTCTCTTTTGGGTGGTAGAGGTTAGTCATATTTTCTGTTCTGAAAAGAGAAGTGCAAAAAATGAAATGTTATAATGTGGAGTTTTGTCTTGAGATTTATGGCACATCATTGGAATTGAAAATTGCCTATGGTTTAGATGTTTGTATTCTCTTCCATGTCAATGATATTTCTTGGGTGTGTACCAGTGTTTCAGCCTGTGTCACTGCATTATTTTGTAGAAAAATACCTGCCTTACTTTCTGACCCTTTGATAGTGAAAAAGTGTATAGGGGGATTACAGGGGGATTACATATATCTGTGTGTTGGAATGTGAATCACAGTATGGAATAGTGACAAGAACTTCTCTGTTGTTTGGTGTTGTGATTTTCACTAGTTTATACCTGGTTATGTTTTACACAAATGAACCTCCCACCCGTATAAATCAATTGAGTACCAGAGGAAATTGCTGCTGAATCCACTAGATGAAAAGGATTTCAAGTGGTAATATATTAGCAAAGTTATTTCTGATTCCTGTGAATCACAGCAGAAAGGAGACTGTAATAAAGTAGTTGTGCATTCACTTATCACCAAGAACAGCCTAGCTAGCTAACCTAAGGTACTGCTGACTAAAAAGATAATGTCTTGAACTAGTCACACCTATCTTGAAGCTGGAAGACTGTACTAAGCTCAAAAACAAGCCATAATAATAATACTAACAACAACAACAATAATAATAATAATAATAACAATAATAAAACACACCCCCCAACAACCAAACCTGCTTTCGGCCTTTTTCCCCATAAGATTTTGTGTTTTGACACACTTCCATTATTTAATATTCTGTTGGAAAAATTCTAGTAATGCCACAATCCTAGTCTTCAGACAGATGAAATACATTGCACTGATTCTCCATTATTGGAGTAAATAAAGTTAAGTTTCTAACTGACTATTCAAAGCCACCTGCTTTTTAGAAGAAGGAGTTACTTTACTGTCTGGTATGTGATTTTGTTCTGCTTGCTCTTTGACTGTAGCCAAAAATATAACTAGAGTTAAACAGATACAATTATTCAAAAGTACTGTCAATATATCCTAATTAGGATGGTTTTCAACTAATCAAGTATATGACATTTTCTTTTTCTCTGCTGATGCTTACCTTTAAAAGGTTTCCTTGCATTTTTTCTCTTGGAACATTTGGGGTAACTTCATGTGTTACTTCTCATAAAATAAATAGAACATTGTCACTGACTGATGGCAATATAATTAAATGTGGTATCTATGATGCGGAAAAAAGTAAAAGGTGTTTGCAATCTTTGAAGAGGGCAAGATACAAGAAAGGCATAGAGAAGTGGTAATAAATGTGTTTGTTTGTTTTACTTGAATCTCCTACATGAAACTTAAGTGATGTATTCAGAAAATTTAAAGTTTTGCTGTGCTTAGTTTGAAAAACACGTATCCCTGTGCTGTCACATTTTGAGGAACTGATTTATTTGGTCTAAAAAGTTTATTGGGGCAAAAAATTGTGCTTGATATGTCAAATGTAAAGTGACACACATGATTGTCATGACTTGATAAGAAGATTTCGCCACGTGCTTTTCAAGCTGAGGGTATCTGTCAAAAGAGAAATTTTGCTGTTGAGAAGTTAGGTTGAGTTTGGAAAATGCAAATGCAAAACTCCTTGCTTTGAAATACAGGCCATTTCATTTGTGCTTTACCTCTGGACTAGTGTGGTCATTCACGTTTGGGTTTCAGACTTCAGAGATGCTATTCAGAACTGATAGATATGGAACTTGAATCCATTCTTTATCCCTTGCTGTGAACTTTCTTAACATTAGACAGCACTGCTGGAGGCAAGGTCAGAATCATTCACCATGTGTCTAAGAAACCATGAGATGCCAGGGAAGTGACCTATGGCTTAGCTGTTTTTGAGAAGTCCTTATGAAGAGAAATAGTAAATAACGTCTGTGAAAATGGAAGTTGTTGTTTTGGGAGTTTTTTGTGTGGTTTTTATTTGTTTGTAGTTTTTAGACAGTATCAAGTTGTTTAAAGAGAAACCAACCAATAAAGACATAATTTCAGTTTTCCATGAAATGTATGAAGAAGGAGTCTTTTTCTTATATATACTGGGAAACACCTTTGGCCTAATGCTTCATAGGTTTTAGAAAACATAAGGCCATTTCTTTTTTGCATTTTGTCATCTGGTTTTGTATCTGTAAATTTGGGAAAACTTCTGCAACAAAAAAGTGAGATATCAGGACTCTTAATTAGTGAGAATATATGTGATAGGTGCAACTATTTCTGCAAAGAGTATGATGTGCTTCTGACTGGGAATTTCCATCTGCAAAAGAGACTTCTGAGCTCACTTGTTAAAAAAAATCCTGGGAAGGGAGCTATTGTTGATGCTCTTTTGAAGGTGGAAATAGCTGCTAGGGAGCCTTTTGAGTAAATATGTAATGAAGCTGATGCTTTTCCTGGAAGTCTCCAGGCATATGTGGTTCACAGTACTTGATTCTTGGCATACAAAAAATTGCTCCCTTGGAAGCTGAACAGGATTGTAGTGACCTAGCAGAGGCTTGTTTTGGCAGATTTATTTTTATAGGAACATTTGGAAAACATGAGATAAATTAATATCCTAGGAGTAAGAGCCATCTTGAAGTAGGGACAGCTATTTTCAACTCAGAAATAGTATCATGCGTATTTTTATTTTCTTTGTGTCTCTAGATTCCTTTAGCATCTTAGTAGAAGGCTGTTTCAGAGAACAGCTTTCACTTTCACAAAACTTATGCAGAACAAGTTGTGCCAATGTTAATATTTCTTTTGACTCTTTTATACGTACCTATTTTGAATAAAGGTACTTGTTTCCAGTTGCACCCTTTCAAGAAAAACATTTCAACTAATCATTTTGAAATATTTCTCACACAGTTCAAATAAGTTCAAATAAGTATTGATTGATATGTTCTTTAAATCATATTGCTGATTCCCAAGAATACAGAAGTTTGGCTTTTACGGTTGCTGGTGGATTTTGGTTTGGGTTTGGGTTTTTTGGGTTGGTGTTTCTTTTTGGTTTTTTTTTGGTTTTTTTTTTGGTTTTTTTTGTCTTTGTAAGATGTATTTTGTTCCTAAAATGGCTTATGTTGCTTTCAATATATACTATGTTTTCCCACTAAAAAGCTATTTGTTTGCCAAGTAATTATGATTTGAAACTATATTAAAATCACATACAGGGCAACAATTACTAAGTGTTATTATTCATGTCAGTATTAAATAAGGGCAATATATGTGACTTAGTTAAACTTTTACATTAGGTGTTAGTACACTTTGGAAACATGGTTATGTGTGCCATGCACATCTTATATAGGTACGTGTAAATAAAACTGCAGTAATTTTTTTTTTCTTTGCTCTGCCAGGTTGTGTTTCTTGTGTCTTTATATCATGATTGAAGTTTTAGTAAAAAAATCACATATGTAGATGGATGTTTCAATTCAGGCTATTTTTTTTTAAGTTCTTAAGTCCAGAAGAGATGTAAAATCATCTAGTCTGACCAGGTCATAATATTTTATATAGTCATCCAAGTTTTGGGCCCCCAAATCTGATTACAGAATGACATATGCACTGTTTTCCCTAATATAATGCATGCCATATTGTAACATGTAATATTCACCAAATAAAACTCCATTCTTATCTTTTGAGTACCAGTAATTACTCTAGTGGTACAAAGTGTTCAGCAGGTTTTCTAAATAGGTTCAATTATGATATATTCATGTCTTGCTTCCCTTCAAACAGCGGGCTCTGTTTCTGCCTTTAAAAGTTCTAGCAACTCTATTTCAAGCCAGTGCTAATTATATTCGATCAATAGATATTTCTTTCATAATTTCCCTTAAGTAGCATGTCAATATATTAATTTCCTTAGTTATAGAAGTCTCTTGTTTCCCGTTGTGTTTTAAAATATTCCAGAGAGATATTCCTCTTCTATTTTCATTAATATATTGATTTAAGACAAGAACTGGACCCCGCTGTATGATATGCTCTAGAATAGCACAGGTCTGTACAGTGTATA